GGTGGACTGGCGGTGATAAGTTATCGTTGAAGTGCATTGGCGGTGTGTACGGCGGTGAATATGTATAAACCGATGGTGTCATCATTCTTCCTAAGGTTGCTGGTGGTTGCATCTTTGATAATGTTGACGATGACATTGTAGGTGATGGATAGGATGAATTGTATGACAAAGCCGAACTGTTTGACGAACCATCACTATAGCATGTCGTGGCTGTGATATGACCAGGAATCGTCGAAATGGTTTCAACGGTTTGAATTGTATCACTCGATGCATCGTCGGTTGCAGTAATTGGCATGAATTCTTCGATGGAAATGTTGAAATAGCGCATAGCATCTTGGAACATGTCATTCAATACACTTAAATTCATCGATTTTTTGCTTCGGTATATGGTTGACTGATGCATAACTCCCTCATTTTTGATCACACTGCTTTCATCGTCATCATCATCCTCGATTTCAATAATAACTGGCTCTTTTGTCTTCACAGAGGCTACGAATATTTCCCTACGCTTGATATTCACTCCCAATTTCAATGCAATTCTTCGGACTAATGAGTAAAAGTCATTTATCACTTGCGCACACTCGTAATTCGAATTGATTTGTTGCCGAATTTTGTAGTTTGCATAGCAATTTTCAAGTGTATGGTATTGCTCATGAATTCTCAGTGGCGTTGTGTTGCAATACTGACAAATCATACCACTTTTGTGTCGATCGTGACTCAAAACCATATGATCAAGCGTAATGATATATGGCCCGATGAACTCACAACTTTCGCATTGCAGCAGTTTGTTTCCCAACAACGATTTCTTCAGTATATAATCGCAGAATTTGAATGAACCAAAGAATCTGAATCGCATTAGTTGCTCAAGTAATTTTGGCACTGCATTTATTTCGCTGTACAGACCACTTTCCTCAACGTAGTAGTCTACTACGCACATCATTTTCAGCGCAACGTCAAAATCCTTTTCCGGTGAGTTTATGACAATCGAAGAGATTGGCCGGGTCAACAAATGATCCAAAATTGTTTGGCGCATTTTTTCGTCCATGATGTTGTCTGTTATGCGCACTTTTTTTTAAGCAAAAATAATTGTTTATTCTTCTCCGATGAAAATCACTTCTTTTCCTCAGCAAACAATGTTTTTTCACGATTTCCTTTGTAATACTTCACTTGGTATGTTCTTCAGCCCATCAACAAGTATCAACTGAATGAACTGCTCAAATAGTTATCGAATATATATTTGAATTTATATTCTCTTGTTCTCTCTTTTTTCCCTAGACTGTCTCACAGAGGTATATATTTTTCTAAATTCTGTTCAATTTTCGACTTGAAACAGTCCTTTTGTCGCTAAATGGTTTTCGAAAAAAAGTCTCTCTACCTGAGTCGTTTGGCGTTTTCAATGTTTGGTATTTCTGTAAAACTTCGTCACCGGCTTATATTTTTCAAACACATATAAACCGAACTAACACAGGAGAAGAGTACGTCCGTTGCTTTTGACTGATACTTTCAACTGAATACACACAAAATGTTACTACGGCATTGACTTCGTGGTGGTATGAACTGCATATATATAACATAGAGTGTTCGTATACGACATTCTATCGCTGTGCTCACTGCTCACACACTACATTCTGTCGTTGTTGCTTCTCCTTCTCCTTCGGTGTCAAACGAAGCGAACGCAGTGAGACGCTATGCATATGAGCTTTCTCACACAATTCAAGCGAGAACGAAAACACATTCGCTGTTATCTTTGTGTGAAATATCGCTTATGGAAGTGAGAATGTAGGAGTGTGGCTACACTTATACATGTTATTGCAAGAAATATCGAAGCAAATTCAGCATTAATAAACTTAAGTCACCATTTAACAACTTGTGATGTATTTGTTATTAAACGAAGGGAACAAAATCAAACGCAATGCGTTCAATAATAAGCGTGAAATTTGAATTTCGGTAGTTTAATTGACAATACGGGCGATTATAATAATCTTCAGTCGAATGCAGCCCGTATTTATAAATAAATCAAAAAGGATCAAATGACTCAATATTTTTAGCTGGAATCCAGTATTTATACAAAACGATACCAACTTTTTAAACAAACGATATTCGACAGAAATGATTCAATTTTCAATTGAATGCTTATTCAGCGAGTATTCAGTGAGAAAATGAAACGTATTTTAATAGAAACAAAAAATGAAATAATCGAGAATGTTCTTCGAGCAAGTTGGCTTGAGGAACTTTTTTTTTCTGTTGATGTGTATAACAAAACCGAAATACGTAATTATTTTCCAGAATTTAGCACACTGATGCAAGCATTTTTTTAGGCATCGCTTTGCGCTCGGTTATTCAATCGAATAAACAAAATACGATAATTATATGCAGTCATTATTACGAGCCCGTAATAAGACGAAACCGAAGCAAGAAATAAAAGAAACACTTCAAGACGTCCCTTGCAGAGTATCTCCTAATCGGAATTATGCCGAGTCGGCATTTTTGTGTATTTGTCACAACAATTTTTTGGCTGGATACCGTTCAAGTGTTTCAGTCTCTCAATACATGCCGGATGAATTGTGGCATATTAATGTTTATTGCGTGAAATCACATCGCACTTTGGTTTTTATTTCGAAATGAAATGCGTTCATTCAGTTGAAGTTTGGATATGTGTAATAAACAAAAATATTTATGGTCGAGCGATAGAATGCTACACACATGTGCGTTTACGAACTGTCAACACGGTTGCATCGTTTCAATTGAATGTGATTGTTCATAAATGTCGGCATTTAGAATCAATCAATTCGGCTCTTTACAACAAACCAAGACGCAACTTGTGTCCATTCAACTCATTTTCAATAATTCAATTTCAAAGGATAAAACTTACTTGGTTTTACGTGATTTATTCTTTCCAATCTATTTCTTCTGCAGGTTCATGTTGAAAAATATGTGAAGAAATTACTTTGGAAAAACATTTTAGTCTGCTATCTCCAGACTCAGTATGCTCTTTTCAATGCAATACGATTTGTGTCCTAGGTATCTTTAGTTTGAAAGATTGTCGATAGAAACTCAATACAAATAAATAGATCTTCTGCCTACTCGAGATACGGCAGATATGTCCATTTCGAATTTCACCATTTTCTATTGTCTTATTCTCTCTTGCCGGAACCATTCGTTTATTTATGTTATGGTGTCAGAATCAAATCTGAAGAAAGGAACCCGATCACAAATGCATTTTGCATTTTGTTGATGCCGAATTGCATATATGCACTTCTCACGTACCTTTTGACTTATTAACGTATTTTTAAAGAAAAAAGAACTATTACAATAGTTAATTTAGTTTAATTTATGGGAAGGTCTGACCTTTCAAGTAATGTAGGTTTCTATCATAATTCACTGTGCTATGTTGATAGGTGCTACCTTAGAGCTTACCAAAGGCGATATTTTTCTTATTCAGACGTCTTCCGGAGAAAGTAATGATGCAGAAATGTTTGTTTTTGTATCCTCTATCAACGTACATTCAAACCCCCAATGTACCTTGACATGTGTTGCACGGTGTAATGCAACAAAAAATACCGTGCATGCAAAAGATTTGAAAAACGAATGTATTTTGACAGAGATTTTATTTTTGCACGAGAAAGAATTGACAAGCGAAATAACTCGAACGAGTAAAAACTATCCAAGTTATCAAAATTGGTCATTACAAAACAATAATGATATTGGACAGTCAACAAACGGTCCAAAATAACCTTTGGTAAACGTTTCCAAAGGGACAACTGTTACGCATTTGATTTGAGACTTTGAGACTGCAAAAGTCGTCACTCAATTTATACAGTAGATAAATTGACGAGGAGTTTTACGTCGGTTGGGCAGATTCATGTTGATTGCAGAGTGTTTGAGTTAATCATTAAACCATGATTTGAAACGTAACAGAGCATTCGATGCAAAAAAGTAGTTAATTCAAAAGTGAATAAAATTTGGGAAAATAACCCGCCAACTCGACGGATGGCTATAACACTAATCATTGATCAGTGATCAATATCTAATTTACAATATATAGGTGTAAAGATCACAGATAGGTATCATTATTTCAATACATATACGAGTAATGTAAGAAAACAATTCGTCAGTCTTTTTAAATCAAAAATTTGTGTTATCGAATAACACGATGAGCTGAGTTTCAAACGGGTGGTTTGAGTTTGGGATCCTTGCCACGTTCATGTTGGTTTTTCAATCAGCTACATCCCAATCAAAGAGAGGTACAAGAGCAATATGCTGCGTTGTCCTTGGTGGACCCGTCCAGATAGAGATCATAGCTCGGGTTTTATGGTAACATGAAAATTATAGTATAGTATATTTATGTCCATTGAATTGCACTTGTGCTGTTGAATTCATTCTTCAAGCGTTCAGTTTGAATTTTGTTGGGCAGAATCAAATGGTTTTGGCGTCTGAAGAAAAAGGAGGAAAAATTGTCTATAATTTTCTTGGAAAAAACAAAACGAAAGGATACCAGAGATTAGAAAAATCGAACGAGGGTCATCATTCTATAAATTAAGAATGCTATCTTCTTCAAAAGGGAATCAGTCAAAGATTTCATTTTATATCAACCATATGCCTTATCAGTTAGTATTCAAATGATGTCCTACAGTCTTTGTGAAACAGATAAGAGCACAAAAGGAGATTGAATTGTTTCTCGTTTGATCGATGGCTATCCAGACGTTTAAACTGACAACGGAAAAACAGAAGTGAGCAACAACTTCTTGAGACTAACGCTTTCATAGCTTTGTTCCCCTGGAATAAATATTGAATTGTGCCATCTGATACTATATTTTCTGCGTGCCGAGTCTTCATTAGAATAAAAAATTCGAATTTTAACTTTACGACAACCATAAAAAAAACTTTCACTCATGAGACATTTGCCCCAATTCATTTTACCGATGCATGTGTAGAAATCGTGTATGTGTGGGTCTTGATCGCATAATTCGATCAAAATTGTTGAGCACCGCTTGTTGTTCACAGTTTAAAATTGGCCGTCGATTCGATGGGAAGATATTTTGTATCGCACCGTTGTTTTTGAATAATTGAAAAACTGTTTAGAAAAAGACTTAAAACAGACGGCATTTCTCGTTCTCAAATTTCCTCTCGATCTCTTAGTGAATTGTGCGTGTGAAGGCGAATATTTGTTTGCGCAGTTAGATATTCGAGTCGAATGATCCGACAAACCAGAGCAAAGCCTTTACACATGTTGGGCGTCACTCAGCAAAATTAAGCGTTGGTTATTATTAGTTGCCCAGCCCCAAACAGTGGATAATATGCCAAAACTTCTCAATCGAAACGCCCATAAGACTTCAAGACATACATGCCAATAAGACAAAATACGTTGATGGTAATATTCATATATGGGCAAGCAATGAATTGAGTGAATTAAATGTGCTTAACAACTATCATTTTGATTGTAGAAAAAAACAATTTGCTCCATTGGATTCCTTTGGAAATCAAAGCAAGCCATGCATAAATTCAAATTGACAAGATACACCCTTTGAAAAATGAACTCACTTCTAAAGTGAACGGCAGACGCGCGTGCGTTATTTCAGTGTTTGCGTCGTATATAAATTATATATCGTTCAGTAGTATAATATTAGCAACAACAGCACACGCTTCGTGCTTTTTCTCCACAAAGTATTGAAATCAAAAAAAAAACTTCATTTCCATGAGACAACGGAACTTTTCAATTCGGCTGATAGCAAACCGATCGCAAAACTAAGGTGAGAATTTATAATATATTTTCGTTTTTATCGAGCCCGTATAATATTTTTGATAAATAAATGATTCCAAAGTTGAAAAAATGCATTCGAAATACGAATACACACTGGGTCGAATGCACAACGATAGAAATTAGGAAGACAAATTGAAGTTAAATGAGAAAATAGCAGGAAAAATCAGATATTCGAAAGAGATTCAGGGAAGCTATAGGTCGATATAGATAATCAAGTTTAATTTAAGTTGCATATTTAAATAAACAGTACAGCACAGAATAGTGAGTATGCCATTTTCATGATATAAATAGCAGAATATTACTTAGTATTATGCAAATGAACAGGTTTACTGGGATTAATGTGAGTGTGAAACGTCAGCAAGCGAAAGATACAATGTATTTATTAATTACCCATTTGCATTTGCATTTGCATTTAACATTCAATCACGCTTCACTCATCAATATCATATGACTCATTAAAAAATTACGTCCATTTGAACTAATTTTTTCCTTTATTTATATTTCTTTCATTGTGATTGAATATTTCAAAAGTACACTAACTCATACCAATTGTATTTGTGTCACTTACTTTTCCCGTGCCACTTTTCTGTATACATATTTATCAACAACATTGTATATATCAAAATTGCTTATATGTTGTTTTTGTTGATTTTCGATATAGAAGATAAATTTTAGCGTAGAAACACATTTTAAGACCCAAAAAAACCTTATAGCAACAATAGCAAAACCATAAGATGAATTGAATACTATGGAAGACCACATAATCCAAGGTTAAATGAAAGTTGAGTTTGTTATTTATTTATTCGACATCAACATTTAAAGCGAATGAATTAATTTCAGTTTTGGTCAACGGATTTTATGAAAATGTATTTCTTAATATATTTCTGATTCAAAACAGACGCGGTTGTGTTTGCCTCTTAAAATGTGGTTTAATTTGATTTGCTAAATTTGTATTGTATATGTGTGAGCATTCGCTATCGGTCATAACGATACGCTCAGTGGGCAGAAAATGTTTGGTCATGAAACGAAAAAAAAGAAGCAGCAGTTTATCCGGAACTCCCACACATTTCAAACCCACATACTATAGTATGCTATAGCGCTCAATTTTATTTAATCATATTTTGAAATGGGTAACGAAATTAGAAAAATTAGAAGCTCGAAAACTATTTCATTGTTTTTCATGTATATTTATGAATTGAGCCTTTCGGTTTCATGTATATAACAGAATTAAAACATGCGTTCCAAGCCAATTGCTAGATTTTATGACCTTTTATTGCAATGCTCTGTACCGCACAGTTAAGAACCATGTCATATCGAGGTCCGTTTGTTTCATTTCATCAATATATTCAAATGTATGCCTGAAAATTTTGACTTGCATCGAATGACTAATCTCACATTCACGCGCACAGAATACTTGAACTAACAGCACGCAATACGATGTAGAAAAATAAATATTTTATGATACAATGCAGCATAAGGTTTGTAGCAAAGCGATTTAGGAAATTAGGGTGAACAATTTTACGGCCAAACAGCCAATCGCATTCTTCTAAAAATTCATTTTATTGCTTTCTTTGCTCACATTTCTATTTGCACATGTTTCGCATCGAACAAATTTCCGTTAGGAAAATTTACGACTTTTTTGCCTCGCTTTTTAATTCGTTCGAGTGACATAATCACAGTATGACTACGCATGACCCATCGAAAGAGATAGAATTTCAAATATCTGGCATTGCATTGGGAACAACACTCTTTCGGTTACATGTAGCATTTGTTTGAATTGTATTGCACATCCCGAAATAAACACAATGACACACACATAGAACCAGATAAAATAGGCAGAAGAAACGATTTTTTGTTACTTTTTCTGAAGCTTGAAAATTAACTCTGAGACCATTTCGACTGTGTACGGACAAATCTGTGGTTCGTTCAAACACAGATGTTTATTTCCGAATGTTTCGAATGCTCGGGTAGATATTTACTCTTTACTACGACAAATTTCAGTATTTACACTTACAAAAAACCAATCAAAACGATTGTTTCATTTCACTCAAAATAAGCGTAACGTTCTTTGCTTACAGAAAATGAATATCAAGAGGACAAAGAGCGAACGATGGTTTCTTGAAAACAAAAAAACCAAACAAATCATTGGTTTGTACATGGGTGACACGAAAATTCTGCGACAGAAAACCGTTTATAATACAGCACACTGTATCATAGACATTTTCAAAGACCGAACCATAAAAGTACAAGAAATTGTGAGTAAAAAAAACATTGATCAAGCATTCTGCTGTAGCAGGTACCGTCCACATTGATGTAAACCTTTTAAGGCAGACGTTTGCATGAACATGTTATTGAAAGCGAAAAGATTGATATTGAAGTTTTCAGTGGCAATTTAATGCATAAAAATGACGATAAATGCGGAATAATGCCTGTCAATGTAAAATTTATCTCACTTAATAGCAGCGCTACTGAACAACAACAAAAAAGCAATGGTTATCATATTTTTTTCCTATACGACAATTCATTTTGTTCTTTTGCTTCCATTCTTACATTCGCACACGTCATAAGACGATTATTGCTGTGTGGCACACAGTGTGTGCTCCTGCGGTGCATTGTTTCACTGGCGTTGCTATTGAACGTCGTTAGTTTCAAATTGAAAAAAAACTTTTAATCAATTGTTTAATTTTTCTATTTACAATAGAAACCGAATGAAACTTATCTAAACGGCAAGAGAGTGATAAAGGCCATGCTAAAGGCGGGAGACCAGATTTTTTTGGGAAATCAAAATGAGATTCCAAAGAATCTATGGGATGAACGATCGTTTTTGGTGTTGGAGAAATTCATGGGAGAAAATAAAGCACTTGAAAACCAAAAACAAGCACAAGTTCAAGTGGTTAATGAAATGCAGCCCATTGATGATGATGACGACGACGACAACGATGATGACTTTGACGTTATGAACGTAAACATCGATGCAGATCACACTCAAAATATACGCATGCACAAAGAATCGTTTGTTCTTTGCGCACCAAGATCTTCAACATCAGAACAGTCCAATGAAATTTTGTCGCCTGAGGCACGGGTGATATCAAGAGATCAACACGTTGCATCACAGAGGTTTGTATTTAGTTTCAGTTGAATCGTTGCATCCTACACAACTCTTTGTTTAAGACAAATGAAGTGAATTTGGTTGACGTGATTAGAATGTTTTCGATAGAAACCAACAGAGTTTAAGATCCACGGCGAAAATCGTTTAAGGATTTTGAATCCATATGTCGAATAGAGTTTAAGTAATCCATTCATAAATTGGTTTCAAATGTGAAAAAGATTCACAAGTTTTGTGAGAGGAAAAAATTCTCACCCTACCTATGAAAATCATTCTAAAAATAAACCAGCATTTCTTCTCATTTTATCCCATTCGATTTCACTCAATACCAATAAATTATCCGAATTGATTTTGAATGTGAACGTTTGAAAAAAAAAACATACAGCGGGCATCAAGTAGAACAATTTAAATGAATCGGAAAAACTGTTTCATTTGATGCAGAACATCATCGGAAAAAAAATGTACTAGTGTCAAAAACAAACCCTAAATAAACAGCAAAAAAGGAACAGTCGGTGGGAAAAGTAAACCAGAAAAAAAGGTTCGAAGTCCGAAAAATTATCAGAAGATTTAATGCGGGTAAATACATAAGTCATGAATATGCCAGCCTAGGGGAATTTAACTCTTACGAGTTCAGCATGTTTTTTGCCAGTTTGCTTGATTCGCGGGAGTTCGACGCGTTCCTTGTACGTACTGACGCGCACGGTCACAAGTTTACACAAGTTTGTTTATGGTTTTGCGCGTTTTTCAAGTTGTTATTTGACAATTAAAACGCGTTTCAAGCTAAAAATCGGTTGTTTACGTGTATAAAGATTTTTCACATCCTTTCCAAAAGTTCAAAGATTTTTATAATTATAAAATGGACAAAGGAAATATTTTTAAAGAGCTGGAGAAAGTGTTGAAGAAAAAGTTAATCCAGATATAATAAATGGAACGACTGATGTGTGCGCGTCGTCCAGCTACAAGTTTGCACACGAACTCGCGCGCGTTCGCGCATGTTGTTTTAATACGGAACTTGTCAACTGAGTGGAATCATGCAAGTTCTCTGGTGAATGTAACAATTTCGTGCGTGTTTATATCATTTTTTTACAAGTTTTCACGTAGTTAAATCCCCCTAGATGCCAGCGTACCGAATTTCGTTTAAAAAAAAAAAATTAAAAAATGCTTTCCACACTAAAATCGAAAAACTAATAAACATAAATAATTGTATACGACTTAGGTCGCTTTGAGGATGCATTCAATATTATTCAAGGGGGTAGACGCAGTTTACCGTACAAGTTTTGACGAATTTGTCTCATTTTGCACCGAGTAGTACCGAGGACATCTATGTATTTTAAATGTAAACTCGAAACTATTCAAAAAACTCAGTAGACGTTGACAGTTCTTCGACAGTATACACATTACACTGAACCAAATGGCACCGAGTAGCACTGAGTAGATTCTAGTATCGGCGAGTGTTTGTCGAGTATGAATTCGTGTCTAACCCTTTGATATTACTGCAGAATGATCGATAGCCATGTAAGGTGTTGCCCAAAATCATAAATCATCCTACTATTCCGGACAAAAATCGGAGCGTTTTAATGCAACGATAACGTCAAAAATCTTTATGACCATTCGTCGCGATTTATATTTGAGATCACAACGAGAACATGACGTATTTGAAAGGTCTAACTACGGATTTTTCCAGCAGTTGTGTTATATTGAGTTGCGGTTTCAACTATTTGTGGGCGAAATTATCTCAAAAGTATGCTAAAATGAGTTATTTGTCATGCGAACGCTCAAATGAGTTATTTGTCATGCGAACGCTCAAACGACTACTGTTAATGTACGCACTGATTCAGTAGACATGCAATGGTTACTAGATGACAAATTTACAATACACTCGAGTGCGTGTATTTGCGCGTACACTTCCAGTAGCCGTTTGAGCGTTCGCATAACAAATAACTCATTTTTGTATATTTTTGAGATAATTTCGCCCAAAAATAGTTGAAATCGTTATATACTCGATTCACAGCTACTGGAAAAATCCGTAGATGGAGTTAGACGCCCGTATCAAATGTAATGTATTGAAACTCCATATACATGCTCGGAGTATGTTTGAGATTTGGCCCATTTGTTCCGTTGAATAAGCCCACAAGAAAAACGAATACCAAAAGACCACCGCAAAAAACTATAAAACGTGACTTTTTCCCATTTTTACCACACATTCTGAGCTGGATGCAAGTAATGCGCTTCGTCTGAAAGATTGTCTTATGTATTCGTTCACACGTTGCATTTTTTTATTGCACGCGTAAAATGCGCATCGTGTTTCGTAGGTAAACAAAAATCGATTAAGTTGGTATTTTGTGCGGTGTAGATAATTGCAGCAGCGGTTAAAAGCTGTTATTTACATTGGTGTGTATCAACCACTCCTGTCCATAAATAGCGTGCGTGTGGCGAATGGCACATGGTTTTCTTTGGAATGTCATATGATGCGTTTTGTCCTTCAAAAAGAAGTTTGAACTCATTCGCATTGAGTGTGTGTGTTTAACGAAATATCGAATTTACCCGAAACACAACGGGATGTAAACAACTCTTCCACCCAAAAATCTATTTCAGAGTAAACTACAGATATAAACGAAAGAAAACACCACTCGCTCTATACCAAAACAAATATCACAGCGAACATAGAAAAAAGCAATAACTTTCAACGCCGTTTTCATATTTTCATTATACACACCCAAAAAAACGAAAGTTCCCATTCTATGGACTGAAGCAATTTTATTTGAAGTTAACATGCGTTCGTTGTTTCACTCTATGATTTCAATGAGTTGTTTTATTTCTTTTAGCCATTTCTGTGTGATTTACGACTGGTGAACAGTTTTTTGGATTTTTTTGGACATTTTGAGTAATCTTACACACATTCTTCGTATTGGCTGCATCCACAAATCGAAACCATTTTGTATAAGTTGGTATTTTCCCCTTTATCAACCTTTTTCCAGTCATTTTACATACTCACATTCTTTTTGCAAACCGATCTTCTCTCTTATTCGCAATAAAAAGTCGATTGGATTGGCAACACATAGATCAATACTTAATGACGTGTGAGAAGCAGCACAGAAGAAACGAACTATCGACTTTTTTTTTTATTACAGTTTTCAACAATCTCCATAATCCTATTAAAGAGAGACTCTTGCACATTTTTATGATTTTATGATAAACTATAATAGAAATGGCTCCATTAAATGACTCTCCCAAATGGACTGTCCTTTCACACAATCGATCAACATGCATTTCATTCTAAGTTGCACTTCAAAGTGAATAATCCCTAATGGGTTTATAGCGGAAACTCCCACAGCAAACAATGGACATGCAATAGAACAAAAGATGTCAATTCCATTTTTCTCTTGACATAATGACACGGAAGCATAATATAATGCATAGGAATGAATATATTAATGATACCAAAAGTCGCTTTGTCATAAAATAATTTTTTTATTGTTTTTTTTTGATAAACATTCAAACGGACCGAAAAAATCCTTTGTTTTGTTTTGTTTCTTATCGACAGAAAACTGATGTATTTCACCATATGATGAAATGAACAGCAATGCCTTCATTTATTTATTTGCATGCATACAAAAAATGTCGATTTAAAACGATAACTGATACCAAATATTTGTTAGTAGCACCTCTTTATATGAACGAAACAAATGCATTATTCGATATCAACATTTTGAACAACAATTTTTTTTCTTAACAAGATTCTTTTTCGTATATATATAAGTTTTAAGTTCGAAACTTCTATTTCGAAAAAACCCATTTGAATTTGTACTCAAATGATACCATCAGCGCCCTCTCTTGGAATTGGATATGTTGTGCACGTTCGCTTTCAATTCTGACAGTGACGTTTACATTTTGGATGGATATGTTTTTGAAATTCAGTTCCCTCGCAGTTTGTGGCGAAAATCTTCGGCAAAATTGGTTTTTATCCCTTGTTTAAGCCGAATCGCGTGTTTGGTATTAGAAACAAATAGGAAAATTCACTTTTTTTAACACATTGAAATAACATCGCGACAATCAATGCCATAAAATCATTAATTCGAGCAACCGAGTATGTATCAAAGTGGTTATTGTTCATGTATTCACAAATCGGCATCGCAGCAAAAATTATGCACATTTTTTTTCTGCTCAAACTGTTTCAAGCATGCATTTGTCTTTGTGAATACAATTTTTTCTGTCGTTTGTTTATTTTAGGCAAGCCATTTTGGCAAAAATGGTGAAAAGCAATAAATGGTGCCTCAATCGTATAAACTACGACGGTGTTAATAAACTATTTTATTTAAATGAAGGCGACACGACAATTGGAAGAAATAGAACGGCGGATATCACATCAATATCCACAATAAGCAGTCGCGATCATTGTGTCATTACATTGAATCCCGATGGTACCGTTGTGATCACAAACAAGGTTAGTGGGTGGTAAAATAAATGATTAATTGTGTGATGAATAACAAACGGAATAAAATTTTATTTCCTTTTTTTCCAGTCTTCAAATGGCACGTATGTGAATGATACCAGAGTCGAATCAGACAATTTCGTTCTGAAACACGATGATTTGATCGGCCTAGGATGTGATAAGACTATTTTCGATATGATAGAAAATTGGGACAATTATTATGTGTTTCATTTGCAAGATGTGACGTTGGTCAACCATGAGAACGATGTCATCGACTTGGTGAGTGACGATGAGAAAGAAAACGATGTCAAGCCGGTCATTGTAAATGGCAACATCGAACAAGGTCCCGTAGTCGTCGAACAACCAATACCCATTTCCAATATGCCTACCGAAAATGTGCTATTAAAGGACGTGTCAAATCATGACGATCATGATGACAACGAATTGATGTACTCACAACAAATTCTGATGGATATCAAGCAGGAAGTGAACTTTCCAGATGAAAATCAATTCGGAAACCATGAAGATGACTTTTCCATTCTCATTGCAAGTGATGATTCGGAAGACGATGAATCCAGTTGGTCGCAAAAGTTGTCCCAAAATCAAGATTTGGCCATCAAAAAGGTTACCGAATCGGTGCAAAACAATAAACGAAAAGTTACCAAACAAATTGAAGCTATACCGTTGGTGCCAGCGAAAAAGGCACGTCGTAACTCGGTGTCCGCCGTCGCATTAGAGCCATCGAAAAAGGTACGTCGAAACTCGGTATCGACCAGTACATATGCCCAGCCAGCGGTGTCAGACTCGACGATGAAAGTCATCGTGGCAAGCAAAAGTGTGGCAAGCACTTCAAAAGCATTAGGCGAAAATGAAAATCAGGGGCCCTTTGTTGATCGGCTTGATCCCTTTGCCGTCAAACAGAAACCAGTCGTAAAACAAAAAACATTTGAAGATGCTCTTAAGCAAGTCTCGTTTAAGCCGAAAAAGGTTCGCACCGCACATGTGCCGAAATTTTACCACATTGGTGACACCAAATCAATATTGCGCAGCCCGAATGGTGGTTGGCCGATTGATGGCACAAAACCGAAAAAAAGAGTTCGTTTTTCTGCTGATGAGCCCACCGTTCGTGAATACACACCAGATAGAGACGATATTGGCGATATCATTCAGTCACCTGTCAAACCGTTGGGGCAACACGATACGGACAGCTTGAACAGCTTCGAAAATGATCCATTACACAACATCATCACAGACATTACCGAATGGAAACCGGAATGGCTAACACAACGAGATGTGACACCTCCAATCAATGGAGTGAATTTAGTCATCAACCCACTTACCTACAAATATGCGTCATTTGATGTCTACAAAGAGTGAGTTGTTATTTTTTCCATTGGTTCAATCAGTTTTTGTTGCATTTTCTCGAATTTATATACTTTTTTGGTATATTTTTGCAGTAATGTGACGTCGCTTCTCAAGCATGAGCTATGGTCATCGATCCAAGCAGAGAATCGAAATCGAAATCGTTTCGAAGTGAGGATCAATTCGATGGAACTCTCGAAACGAGTTGAAAGAAAACGATACGTGTTTCATGTTCAAGGTGGAAAAAATGTTTTCTGATTTTAATTTTTCATAAAAGAATTTATTTGTTTATCAAGTTATTTCCTGTGAACACAAACCGTATTTCAAAGAAACGTCTGCACAAGGGTGTTTACACACAACTCAAACTAACGGAAACAGTGGACAATGTGATCTAGAACCATTGGTTTCGATATAATGCTCTTGTATACTCAATGTGTTTCTGCGAATGATACAAAGAAGAACGTGCGTTAGTTCGGTTGTGTGTAAGCAACTAATGTACAAAGCGTAGATTTGAGTGCATATGCTTATTTTCAATTATGATTGGCATGCCCGGGCTGTTCGAAACATTTTCTTGATATAATTTGGTTAACATTTGGAAAAAATTCAGTAAAATGTTCAATCCATTGCAGTTGTTGTTGAAGGTGCAAACGTGCGAGCTAATGTTGGTGATTTTGTTCTTGTTGAAGCTGACAAATGTCCGAAATTTTTTGCCTATGTCACAGTTCAACGATTTACTAGTAAGAATATTATTATTTCGAATTGAAATTCAAAGAGAATGTTTTCATTCATGAATTGAGAGCATTTTGGTACTAATTAATCTTTTGTTGCAATTTATTATCTCATGGCATATTTCCTTTTACAGCGTCAGGTTATTCAAAAACCACATACCTCACAATGGAAGCATCCGAATCGGTGGTCAAACTGAAAAATGGTGAATCAAAAACGATGTACATAACACCGATTGCCAACATTCGAACCGAACTGAAGTTGTTCAATGCGATCTTCTATTTAGATCGAACTCCATTTAAGAATTTAATTCTCGATCCCGAATCCTACCAAGAACCAAATATCCCAAATCGAGTTTCCTCGAAATTCTCATATTCGGGATATGTAAGATTGATTGTGTTTTTGTCTCATGACAATGCCCAAATATTTGACTAACACATAATTTTTTATTTCTTGATTAGGATAAGTTGAATGCCGAACAAATGGGAATTCTACGATCGATTTACAATAAGTGTCTGGGCACAGATATCAGTTTGTCATTAATTGAAGGACCTCCCGGTACCGGCAAAACGAGACTCATCGTGTCAATCATACTGCAGCTACTCTTTGGCCTAGAAATGAAAAGAAAACTACGAATTCTGGTGTTGACGTCGAGCAATGCCGCTGTTGATATTATAGCAAGGAGGCTGATGCACATTAGAGAAAAAATGTGCGGAAATGGTATGTGAATCATTCATTGGATTTGGTATATTTCTCGTACAATTTTATTAAAATTCACATTTTATTCAACAGAAAAGCAAAAGTTTCTCAATGTGGTACGGTATGGTGTGGTGAACAGTATGCATCCAGATGTTCGACGGATTGCGCCGCAAAATTTGAAGAATGATACGCCATTGTCACCAACACAGTTCGATCAGCATACGCGCACATTGCTAGACGAGCAAAAGCATTTACAACGGGAAATTGAAACGTTGAACAAGGATAAAAGTACGACCAACACGTTTTTACATGATAGACTCAAAGATAAACAAAAGAGGTTGGCCATAGTCAACGAAACGTTGGCCAAAAAGACAATTGGCAATCAATTGAATTCACAGTCGAATGGAATTGATGAGGTTATGAAAAACGCTCGAGTCGTTTGCTCCACCCTCAGCAGCGCTATTAATTTGAAACAGTACGTATCTCTAATATCAATTGAATGGTTTGGAGCGAAAATGTAATACAGAAAAGTTGAGCGGAAAATTGTCGATGATGAATGAGCGGAAAAGGGATAGCTATATAGTAAACTGTATAGTAAACTATAGTGAACTATATAGCTATCCCTTTTTATTTTACATTTTCCGCTCAACTTTTCTGTATTACATTTTCGCTCCAAACCATTCAATTCATCTATCAAATGAAGAAAGATGAAACTAAGCGCATTTTCCGATTTGCAGGTACATAAAGAAATTCGATGTTTGCTTCATCGACGAAGCATCTCAGTGTACAGAACCATGGACACTGGTTCCATTACAATATAATGTAACAGCAATGATTTTGGTTGGTGACTCAAAACAACTCAATCCCGTCGTTCTTTCACCGGTATTCATTCATTTGCCTTTTTTGCAGAGAAATTTCAAAATAACACCATTATTCAGACGTCACTAAACATTTTAATTCCCTTCATGTAGGTATGCCGTGAAAATAATTTGGAACGATCGCTGTTCGCTCGTTTATATGATACCATCTCACAGAATGGTCCAATGGCCGAAAGTACTTATGCGATGACGACGCAATATCGTATGCATCCCGATATTTGCCACTTTTCGAACCATTACTTCTATGGCAATCGGCTGACATCAGCCCCATCGTCAAACGATAATTTCATGCTTCGCTCCTATTCCGTTTTTAATTTAAACTTTTTTCAATCAAATAACGATCATATCCATTACTATAATATGGAAGAAGCAGCATTTGTGGTATCAATGCTCAAAGTGATGGTGAAACATGCCGATCCAAAGGATTTCTCATATGGTATCATTACGCCCTACGCGAAACAACGTCAAGAGCTTCAAACTCTCTTGGAGTAAGTCCTCAGACACATTGAAACCATTTACTACAATCTTTTACATGAAATGCATCACTTTTTTTCTCTTTCTCTTGCATTCTACAGGAATTCTGCGACACTTGCCGCTTTCAATATTCCAGTGAATACAATCGACTCGTATCAAGGTCAAGAAAGAGACATCATCATATTGTGTACAACGCGTACAATTGGCATTGGGTTTCTGGCGAATCCGCAACGCCTGAATGTGGCTTTGACGCGTGCCAAAAAATCCTTGGTCATCTGTGGAAATTTCACATCGATTTCGGTAAAACATTCATTTCGACATTTTACTCTCGATTTGCTATTGCTATTTTTTTTTGTTCGTTTTTATCCCTACATTTGACTTATAGAACGCTCCGGTGTGGGGCAGTTTAATCACTGATGCAAAAAGACGCAAAAAATTCCACGATATTCCAACCGATTATGATTTCCAAACCATTGCCGATGTGATGGTTTGTAAGAAAGCGAAGCCACGGTCAGCTAATGATCGCAACTAACGCATATAGCTGCATTTAAACGACCAAAGAGAGAGAGAGAGAGAGAGAAAAAAAAACTATACAAGTGTAACTTATTCAAATTATTGAATAAAATCAGCCGTAAACTAACCAAATATATATAGTTTGGGCCACAATCAAATGATTTTTATGATAAGTATTATTTTGATATGTGAACTATGTACGTACAAATGGATTAACACAAAATTTTATATAAAAACTCAGAATAAATCTTTTTATTTGTTAAAACGACGCTTATACGGTGTGCTTTTCTTCTCGTTGAAACGTTCTTTTTTCTTCTTCTGAGAATTGTTATTGGCCAGCGGTTTAATTTCCCTATCTTTTGTTCGCCATTGCCGTTAAGCAGCAATACGTTCCGTGCTATGGTTCATTTTTTTTTCAGACGCTTTGACATTGCATTTGATTGTACCGAATTTTTCGCCGATTTGTTTCACACTGCTTGAGTTTGTTTCAACGCGCTCACTCTGTCTCTCTCTCTGAGCTGCCGTGCACATGGAGCAGACGGTTTGAAAATGCCACACTATTCGAATCTCTCTACACATAAACCGTGAAAGCGATAGAGTGTGAGTGAGTGAGTGAGTGAGTGTGTAATTTATAGTATCTGCTCCTCATTTTCTGGTGAACATTTTCAGTAAAGGTTCCGTAGCGAGAACATATGCATACGAATTGGTTTTTGTTCCATACAAATCGGTATGTACGCGAGCACTACATCGCATCGTTGCTGAACGCGTAAACGAATTTGTGTGTGCTTTCTGGTAACATGTTTGGATGATTTGCCTGTCAAACGTTTGCCACAAAATGAAACAAAAATCTTTCGGTCAACGAAAAATCACATGCAACGTCCATCGTAGTTGTTCTATAGCCCACATTCCCATATGAATTCGAATACCCGAACTGCTTCTACTTACTATCCAGTGATTCCGTGCATGCCCTACGCTATGAGTTTGTCGCACTAAAAATGTTATCCGCTTTTTCCGAAGCGTGCTTTCCCGTTAACACACGCACATATATGTATATACATTCGTTGTGAGTGCTTTTCACTTTTCCTTGTGCCCGCTACACGCTTTGGTATTAGTATAATGCTCTGTGTTTTTGTGCTTTACTGTGTGATATGTAAAAGATGCGCGTGGAAAATGCGTTACTTTTTTGTGCTTCGAACTGAGCTCGATGTTCGTTTGACGGAGAATCACTCTCGCTCTCTCTCTCTGGCTCTCCCTCTCTTTCTGTAGCAGTAGTAACAGCAATTCGGGAATATATACACTACATGGGAGAAAAAAAGAAGAAAAACAACAACTTTCTTTTTGTTCGAACATACTCAGTTCGTTCGCTCTTCTCGCGCGCGTGCAATTCAGTTTTGCTTGATGTTAATATTGTCGTTATTGCTATTGTTGTTGTTGCTGTTGCTGTTGCCGTATATCGCTCAGTGTGTTCGCCTCTATTGTATATGACATTTTTCGAGTCTGTCCATCAGTTGAGATTCGGGCACCAATCGACTCACATGTTTACACAGAGACTGAGTGTTTCGCGTGTTGTGTGTGTTTTTTCTCTCTACTTTTACTTTATATTGAATACCATTTTCAAATATCCTATAGACACATAGAGTGAGAGAGAGCGGACGGAAAAAAGTTATTAGCTAAATTAAAACGACAGCCAGCGAAGCGAGAAAATAGAGCAAGAGAAAAAAAGTGAACTTTTGACTTTGGTGGTTCTGTTTACTGTTGTAACTGTAAAACCATTTTCCCGGAAAAACTTTTTCGTTTCGTTTGTTTTTTTGATAAGAATTTTAAAACGGTATGACATATGAAAAACGTGAACAAAACCAAAATATCAACTGTAAATGTATGCGGAAAGCGAAAAATAAGAAAGTTAAATTATAACGACAAATTTAACATACTTTGTCTGATTTTGAATTGTGTTCCACCGTGTAGAAAAGTTTTCTTCATTTCAACTCTACTATTTTGTTCATGTCACCGTCACATAGTCAAAGTGAACACGAAAAAGGGGCACAGAGGGATAGAGATGGAGAGGGCGAGAGCCTAACTGATAATCTGATTAAAACAACAGTACGGTTGTGAAGTTTTGAATTTAAATCAACATGTGCGAATGGGCTGGGAAATCAACTCGAAAATATCGGGATATAATGAACAAAGGAGTATCAAATTGGAGCTCATTTTTCCCTTGACTTCACCAAATGGACTTCGACAAATTACGTTCAATTTTGAGCAAATTTTGTTTTTTTCTCCTTTGTTTTTGTTTAACTTTGAGCCATAAGAACTGGAGCACATAATTTATTCGGTGGCTGAATATGGGAATAGAAATAGGTGACAGCAAACAACATGAAATGCACTGAAGAAAGAAGAAAAAAGTAATCACTTCTAAAGAGTGAATGGTGGCTAAAAAGGAAAAAAAAACAGTAGAAGACATAGAGCCAATTTGCAGGAAAAAAAAGAATGCGAAATTGTTTAAAAATGTAAAGAGAGAGAGAGAGAGAGAGAGAGAGAGAGAGAGAAAGAGAGAGAGAGAGAGAGAGAGAGAGGGAGGGAGAGAGAGAAAGAGAGAGAGAGAGAGAGATAAAGAGAATCGTCAAATTGTGTAGTGTTCCGTCGGAAGCCACCTCAATCAATTTTTTTTTACAAAATTGAGTACAATACGGTCTATTTTGCCTTGACTTCATACGCAACATCATCACCATCATTTGGAATCAATTTCGAACGAAGTAAATACAGCTACATTTTTTGAAGTTTGATTTTTGTTTCACTGTGTGCTCGTGAAAGCGAAACGGTGCCGCATTTGTTTAGATTGTGTAGATTTAGACCACAACATCTCAACAGACATAGAATGAGAAAGAGAGAGAGTGAGAGAGAGAAAAATCGCTCCGAAAATCTATTCCCACTTGACAATCAATAGGATGAAACATTTCGTCCTTAAAAGTATCGTTTCGTCAGCCAAGTGAAACGAATTTTTCGTGATTCATGCCGTTTTCATACAAAAGTACAAATCATTTCGAGTCTTGTATTCGTATTCTTCTTTATTTTTGTTTCTCCGTTGATGTTGGGTTTTCTCATTTTCATCGCGAGTCTTGTCTCTCCGTTTCATTACTTTTGAGCATGAAGCTTTTGTGCGCCACCATCAAATGCTGGACAAGCTGTTTTGTGTATGCGTGTTGTGCTTCGATGAATGTCGAGCCCAATGTCTGAGCCATGACTAGAACACGGTTTTTCTTTCGATTTGGGCCCTTTTTTGTTCCTTTCTTCTTTCTTTTGATCTGAATGTGGTTTCAATGTTGTACGTCAACACAAATAGACTGAGAAGTTGCAATAGAGAATGATGGGAAGAAGAGAAAAGAATAAAAAGATGTAGAGAGAAAAAACGACTCGACGCGACCAACGAAGATGAACTACGAAAAATTCATTGCTAAATGATAAATGATGTTGCAAATCGAATTGTGGCCCAGCAAAACAAGTGATGTGTGTGTGTGTGTGTGTGTGATGCGACACAAAAAAACTATGGGAGAGTCGCGGCCGAAATCGAGAGTGCGACACACAGTGAAGTGAAAAAGAGAGCGAACGATGCGAGGGCCGAATAAAAGCGCAAGACATTGAAAGAAAATGGCACGAAGTTCACTAGACAAATATAGTGCTGCATGTATGCTACAGCCGTAGGGATGCTGTGTGCGAGAGTGTGTCGTTGCTGGCTTTAATTCGATTATGCCTTTTGTTTGAATAGCATAGAATTCTTCTCGTAAGTGCATTGTCATGAGCCATGACCATTGACTGACCAGAAAAACTATTTGCTATACATTTTAATTTGATTCACCATTCAGCAGTGCACCGGATTTTCTTTTTTCGCTGGGTGATTTGTCTTACTCGAACGTCTTACTCATATTCGTCCAATATCCATTTGTTGTGTGTACTCCCACGCCAATGGCCTCCATTTATTGGACTCAGACCACACGTTTTCTTCGTTTTTCATGTCTACGAATTGTCTTTGACGTTGAATTGAACCTAGATACTGTTTTTTCTAGCTTGCATTGAAATGTTGTCTCAAGAGATCCACCTGATGTGTTTCAATTACTTTTATTTATTTTTTTCGTTGTCTCGTTGCAACACAATGTCACGATAGTGACACAGTTAATGGTTTGTACATTTCGCAATGCATTCATTTCAATTGCGACTGTGAAAACATCACACAAAAAGCAGCCTTTTGCACCCAGAAAAAAAAAAACAAACAAAGGAACATAACCCGTTCCGCAGGATAAATTAAATGGGAAAGTAGAGAAAAAAAAATTGAATTAATTAGAATGAATGTTTGGTGGTGATGTACAGAAAGCGAAATTGATACTAGCGTTCACCGTGCAAAATACACATCATTTGAATATATATGCATATATTTCAATTCAGCTTAATTAGTTAGTCAGTCTCTCTCGTTCTCTATTTATCTCTCATTTTGTTTATGGGCAACACCGTGTGAACACAATACAATGGAAAAACTAAACCGCGTAATCATGAATATCACAGATAATTAAAATCCTCTGTATTTCCTCCCTGCACCTCGTGCCATCTCCCCAACTCTCTTCACGATATGTTTTCTCTCTCTCTCTCTCTCTCTCTCTCTCTTTCTCTCTCTCCCTCCCTCTCTCTCTCTCTCTCTCTCTCTCTCTCTCTCTCTATCTCTCGCATTTGTGTTAAAGGATGTTTTTTTTTTTATTTTGTAGCATTTATACAGCGGGTAGCTGGAGTGTAAAGTGAAAACATTGAACTAAAACGAACAAACAATTTTGATTGAATGCTGAACATCAACGGTGTGTCGTCGCTGTTTATTTAAACAAATATGCTATATCCAATATAGCTGGTGCTCGTGTATGATAAACGCGGGATCGTTTCGACGATACCGAGAAAAAAATAAAACGGCATGCGATTGACTTGTGTACAAATCCACTGTTTACCACTTGGTTTATAAAAAGAATGTAATATGTGAATTGCCGTGGCAAAGACGTGGAAATTTGATGAATTTAATGTATAGAACCATTCGAAAGAAGAAACCTGCATTCAGAGAAAAAAAAATAAAGTTTAACACAAAACAACCGTAACAACAGCTCAACAGCCGTCGAGAAAGAGAGTCTTTTCATGTATAAACCCCAACTACATCAACCACTTGCAGACCGACTGATTACGTTTTAAGGGCGCATTAATATTTTAATTACGGTCTTAGAAAATAAATCAAATAAACACTTGCGCGTACATTGGCCTAATTGATCATAGAATCACATCAACAATCATCAGTCAACATTTTATTCAAGGTAAGTGCGTACAACAATTTTATTACACCACCTCTCCCAGTTCATTTAGTTGTGAAATCATACCAGCTCGATGGAGTTTCGATTTTGACAGGGATATGGATGGGGATTAGTTTCCATTCAATTTACTTATGATAATTTCGGAACATTTCGACGTCGATAGACTGTATTTGCCCGAATATGGGAATATCAACTCGACACACATACACACAAAGCACAAAAAACACACAAAGGAAATGAATACCGGAGGAAGAGAGATTATATCATATTTGGACCGATGAGCTGTTGCCGAATCATGGCATCGTTATAGGCACAGGAAACAAGCATATCATGCGAAAAAAGAGAATGAATACGATGTGTAAAGCACACACACAGATATCTATGTATATATTTAATGTATAAAACGGTGTATTGCACGTCAATGAAAAGGGTGTTGGCAGATGGGAAGAAAAGAAAGAAGAAGAAGAAGAAGAAGAAGAAGAAGAAGAAGAAACAGAGAAATTTTGCCATAGCAATATACCCGATAATGGTATTCATTTTTCAGAAGAAATACCCGTAAGATCGGCCAAAGTCATTTATCAGAAACGAGGCATACTCAAAGAGAGAAAAGTTCATCTCGTTCATTTTTGGCTTAGAAGCCAAACAACATTTCGACTCATTGAACACACATACTCGGTCTCTGTCTGTCTTTCTCTATTTCTCTCGTTCCTGTGCTAGCTCTCTTTCAATTTTTCACTCACTCTTTACTTTGGCATGAGCGAAAATCGTACCGATGCCATTGCTGCGTATGCTTTTGATTTTTTAATAAGTTTTTGGTTAGTGGAGCTTGGCATTTCAAATTCGATGAAAAAAAAATCATAAAGCAAACGCTTTGCAGTCGCACAACGACCTTCTATGAAGTTTTCTAAGTAGAAAATAATCTCCTGAATGTTATTTATTCGATGGCTATTTAGACTTGATCCCCATGAAATCGTACTGTTGTGGTGTAGCAATTGTATTTCACAACCGCGCAAACATAACACACACACACACACAATGTGCGTCTCTTCTTCGGTTGTGTTTATATCTGTTATTCAGCTATGTTATTCTCTCGGTGTGTATTTTTTTTTGCAACAACGCGTTCGTCAAAACTCATTCTATTGATCGCCCTTCTGCAAAATATGTACAGCGACAAAACTGAGTAACGTCATCGAAAATCCACAAAATAAAGCACACTTTACAGCTCGTTTCATTCGTGTTTTTCTTTTCTTCTCTCTCCCTCTCGTCGTCGTCGGCGTCATCCTCATCATCGTCATCGTCTTCGTTTTTAAGACCAGGCTCAACGTGAAAGCTTGAATCCTTAAATTGGGCGTTATCCAAAATACAGTGCGTTGAATAGCAATTGGGTACACCAAAATACATTTGTATGGAATTCGATTCGACCGCAGTCGGCAGGTCTGTGATGGCGATATTTCAAGCAAACAACCCTAGGGGGTAGACACGAAATAACACTAGAAGAAAACTAGCAAAAAATGAGTGATGCCTCTTCCATGAGAATAGCATTGCCAGTGGTTTTTTTATGGACAACAAAGTACCGTTAATCCTTCCATAAGAAATGCATTGGCAATGCTATACTTATGGAGGAAGCAATGGTACGATACTAGAAATACTAGCAGAATATTTGCGTTACTGCTTGTATACTAGAAAAACTAGAAGAAACTAAACGCATATTTGAACCGATTTGAACAAACTAGCTATACTAGAAATTGGTGTCTAACCCCTAGAAACAACCGGATTAAAAGCACACCAAAGCCAAAGCGACAAACACAATTCTAAACATTTTTCATCGTCTAATACTTGTCATTGAAAGAGCATGCACACGTACGAGCGAGCAAAACGAGCGCTTGTACACCCAACAATTGGAAAATATGTAGAATGGGGTTTAATTCTCGATCAAAAATTTGCTCGTTCGCAATTTTTCAAGCGGCAGATTCTATAATTTCATTTGTTGGGCGTATTTTGTTCCGATTCATATTTTTCAAACGAAGCGTATTTTTTTTCTGTCATAGTTTTAAGATTGAGTTATGGCACGGCGATAACATACTACTGTTATTAATGTGCACAGATTTTCCTCACGAAAAACGAGGACGTTTTCTTCATTTTGAAAAAAGGGGGACGTTCAATTTTTGGAATTTCATGAATAATAGGGTAGAGTACTGAATTTTGATTATTATTATTTACTTTTAAGAAAGAACTGTCACATGTTTTTTGAAGATCGAAACATGTTTCAACGATATTTTATCGGCTGTTTTGATTATCGAATGGATACATTTTTTATTTTGTTCTTGTTTTTAATGTGTATGTATGCTGCTTTCACTGTCTTCGTTACATGGATTATTTTAAGGATTTTTCAGAACGGACCAAAATTTGTGTTAAAGACACAATATTGTGGCCTAATAATCAAGATTACTAAGCTCCAGTGATTCTTAAAAACAAATCTCGATTAGTCACAATATTGGCCCTTTAACAATTAAGACATTAAACTCAAACATAATAAAGGCGGTGGAAGAATTCAAAATAGACCGAACGGAGCGAGCCAAAATTTTCAATTTAATCTCCTAAATATATATGTAGTTTCTTGCATTTTTATTGCAATATATTTTGATAATTTCAATTTAAAAGTACCATCTAATTCGATAGATTTTAAAGCAAATTGATAAAAGGCGAGCGAAGCGAGGCGAAATTTGTTGTTGACAATTTTAAATTGAACAAGCTATGTATTTTGAAGAATTTTTCAATTTAGTCTTTAATTTTCCCTCATATTTCCGTGTTTTTAAAATTAATTTTTGAAATTTGCTCAACCGGTAAAAACGAGGACATTTTACCTAATTTCTAAAATCTACGAGGACGAGAGGACAGCTATCAAAAACGAGGACTGTCCTCCTGAAACGAGGACGTCTGTGCACATTATCATACTTGAACACTGATTACTATACGAGCCGAGCCGATCCATTCATTCACCTTATCGCCAACGAAAACAACGTTTTAGCGGAGTCGATGGCAAGAAAGCAATCTTATCGTTATTCGGATGCCAGTTCGACGCTTGTTTTTCTATATATTTGTCTGTGTATGTGTATATGTTCGGATTTAATCCGCGAGTATAGTTGGCGTTCCGCCGAATTTTGCCTTGATTCTTTTTTCACTATTCCTCTGTTTGCTGCATTAATACGAAAAATGCGAAAGAAAAACGCACATAAACATTCGGCTGCGTCTAGACTGTGTGTTGTATGTATGCACTGAACATTGCACACACCCAGCCGCATCATCATAGCTTCGACCATTCAAATGGTTTAGTTGACACATATAATCATTGTCACAAATCCAACATTTTGTGTGAATTGCTGCTCTTTTTTTGATGGTATATTTGTATTTGAATCAGAGTTCAATTTTGGTTTGCGTTTGCAGCTCTGTGTTGCAATGCATTCTCCCTTGCGTACATATTGTCTCGTTGTCGTTCGCTGTGTGAAAACTTCAAACGATGCATTCGACCAAAAATATTCCCAACGTATAAATTGCAATTCTATACGTTTCATTGAAACGAACAAACAAAAAAATGACCAAGAATAAGGCATACACAAGAAACAATCGTGGCGATGGTTATTTTTCTCTTTCTTTTTCTGTTCGTTGCTCATTCGGAACCGAATAAAACATCTTTTATTTATAATGCATTGAAATTTATGTTCTCGCAGTTTCCTCTGTGTGCTCAAAAGCCCAGAATGTTGTCAAGACGGAATAAACTCGGCGACACACACCAAACTCTGGAACATACTCACAATTTTCGGATAGTTTTCGATGGTCGTCGATATTTTTGTGAAATATTTGGCATTTTATCGATTGCGGTTTTGCACAACACTGAATTCTCTCCAGACTGATAACGACGACAACCACGACTACGGCATAACCAGAGCGTTTCGAGACTTGAAGAAAATTGGTGTTACATGAATACCAGGAGAGAAGCAGAGTGAATGGGAAACCATTGAAAATAATCCTAAACAATGGCTACATAACGAAACCACCTAATTTTGTATATTTTGATAGCATAACTTTCAAACTCTTCATCATGGCTGCATACAGTTGACTTGGATGTGTTCTGTTGTGGAATTTTAAGGTTCGATATACACAGTGAATTGCTGGAAAATATTTGCCAAAAGAAACCCACACTCAAACCACTTACCCCTGTCGATACGTACAGCGATAATTTGTGACTACGAAATTGGTTAACTTTTCAATTCTATGGGCGCTACCATATTGAAAATTTACGTGCGATATGGTGCACGCACTCAATAGTTCCACTTATTTTAATAAGGAATCTTTGTAGGTGGCGCTGCCACATCGTCATTGACATCGAGTCAAATATTGTCAAATATAATAACATTGTTTATATAAGCTTTTATCGCAGTACGTGTCGATAGTGTATCATAAAAATCGTTTCGTTCAAGTAGAAGCAAGGAGCAAGAGACCAAGCAATTGTATAGACACACGGATTCTCATATGTTCCTGGTGTGATTTCGTCCATAAGAAGCATGGTCGCTCTGAGCTGACCACCCGTTGAGCAGACACTGGCTCAAAGAATACACATACGCTCTGTACATTTTTCGCCTTCCCTCTATGTAAGGGTGTGTGTGTGTGTGTGTGTGTGTGTGTGTGTGTGTGTATGAAAAGCCTGAACGAGCGTGAACTCGACGGCAAAAACATGATCAACAATGCATGCATTTGTGTAATCGTGCAAGTACAAATGTCGAACGTGTACACAGCAGAAACCTTAAGCTGCTGCTGTTACACCACCATCACATGCCGACTGACAGCAGGCTCATTTCTGCGGTAATACTCTTACAGTACTCGATTTCAATATGTAATTTCCGTCCATTTGCGGGTATGGAATCTTCGTTCAACGCCGAACAAAAAAAAACGTATGAAAAGCAAAACGCTTCCATACAGGTATGTAGATTCCCCAATTCATTCTT